GATTGGAAAGGATGAAGTCAAACTGTCCCTGTTTGCAGATGACATGATCCTATATATCGTCCTATTCAACACAGTATTGGAAGTATTAGCCAGAGCAATCAGAAATGAGAAGGAAATAAAGGGCATCCAGATTGGAAAGGATGAAGTCAAACTGTCCCTGTTTGCAGATGACATGATCCTATATATCGTCCTATTCAACACAGTATTGGAAGTATTAGCCAGAGCAATCAGAAATGAGAAGGAAATAAAGGGCATCCAGATTGGAAAGGATGAAGTCAAACTGTCCCTGTTTGCAGATGACATGATCCTATATATCGTCCTATTCAACACAGTATTGGAAGTATTAGCCAGAGCAATCAGAAATGAGAAGGAAATAAAGGGCATCCAGATTGGAAAGGATGAAGTCAAACTGTCCCTGTTTGCAGATGACATGATCCTATATATCGTCCTATTCAACACAGTATTGGAAGTATTAGCCAGAGCAATCAGAAATGAGAAGGAAATAAAGGGCATCCAGATTGGAAAGGATGAAGTCAAACTGTCCCTGTTTGCAGATGACATGATCCTATATATCGTCCTATTCAACACAGTATTGGAAGTATTAGCCAGAGCAATCAGAAATGAGAAGGAAATAAAGGGCATCCAGATTGGAAAGGATGAAGTCAAACTGTCCCTGTTTGCAGATGACATGATCCTATATATCGTCCTATTCAACACAGTATTGGAAGTATTAGCCAGAGCAATCAGAAATGAGAAGGAAATAAAGGGCATCCAGATTGGAAAGGATGAAGTCAAACTGTCCCTGTTTGCAGATGACATGATCCTATATATCGTCCTATTCAACACAGTATTGGAAGTATTAGCCAGAGCAATCAGAAATGAGAAGGAAATAAAGGGCATCCAGATTGGAAAGGATGAAGTCAAACTGTCCCTGTTTGCAGATGACATGATCCTATATATCGTCCTATTCAACACAGTATTGGAAGTATTAGCCAGAGCAATCAGAAATGAGAAGGAAATAAAGGGCATCCAGATTGGAAAGGATGAAGTCAAACTGTCCCTGTTTGCAGATGACATGATCCTATATATCGTCCTATTCAACACAGTATTGGAAGTATTAGCCAGAGCAATCAGAAATGAGAAGGAAATAAAGGGCATCCAGATTGGAAAGGATGAAGTCAAACTGTCCCTGTTTGCAGATGACATGATCCTATATATCGAGGTGTCGGTGATGGGCCATAATAATCATATACAGTGTATATTGACAAAATAAAAATAAAAAAAATAAATAAATAAAAATAAAAATAAAAGTCATGATTTAAGTGTATACATTAAAAATCAACCCTAATTTAAGATCCAATTTTGGTACATGATTTTTTAAATCAGAACTGGAATCTCAAAAATCAAGGTGACCAGCTTACTCTTGACCTCTGAAAGGCTCTGCTGCTGCCTCCAACAAAACAGGCCCATTTTGTCCAATTGGACAACAAACCCCTTAAAGTCAAAAAAACTGTATACTCACTGGCACATTCATGATGATTGCTAGTTACATGTATCCGGTAAGTGTTTGCTGGCAATATAGATTATCAAAAAATGATGGGGCTGTGTCAGTCTAGGGCTCACAGACCCTTCAAACCCGTTGCACAGACTGGGTCACAGACCCTTCAAATCCGTTGTGCAGACTGGGTCACAGACCCCTCATATCCCAGGGCACAAGCTAGGTAATTGGAAAGATCCTGGGAGCCGCTGGCAATGTTGACATGCTTCCTTCGGATGTGAGCTCAGCCCCCACCCTCTTCAGAAACGGCGGCAGTACCCTGGTAGCCTCCCAGGGGTCCTGTGTATCAGAGCCATTTGTCCTTTATCCTTGTCAGATAACCAAGGGACACCTGGGCACACATGTGCAATTACATCAGACAGTAGCCAAGGAACACCTGGGGGCACGTGCACAGTTAACATATTTACATCAAACAGGCTAGGTCATGCTCGGCAAGATTCCGAACAGCTGGGGGAACCTGACCATTTTTCTTCATTTTCCTTACAGGCGGATGGGAGGATCAAGTGACAACCAATAGGAGGTTGGGGGAGGGAAAGAGTAAATCCTCACATAGCTGCTTTCCTTCTGACCCACAGCCCTCACTTTGCTGTTGCTTTGGTCATGATCTGCCTTGTTGATGTGGTTCACTAAGTGATGCTAACTGAGATGAAATGTGTAAACATGAATCTTGTTTGGAAAATGGAAAATTTCTCTAGATCCTGACTAGAAAAGGTCAGCATGGTGTTTCTCCCACATGCTGGGCCAAATAGAAGCTTCCTATTAAGGCAGGACAGGCATTAGTCACTTATCTCATCTATCAGTAGAGTTAACAGATGTCTGCAGCAGAAGAAAAGGAGAGGAAAGATGAAAAGAGGAGCAATGAAAAGGAGACAACTGAGACTTTCCATGTGAGAAGAGAATCACCTACAAATGCCTCAGCCAGAAGGACAGGTAGGGCTCTTTATACAGGTTTGTGGAACTTCTGGAGTATTTTGGTGGCTGGCCGGTAAGGGGATCTAAACCCTTGACCTTGTGGTTACAACACTACACGCTAATCCACTGAGCTAACCAGCCAGCCCACATTTTTTTAGTATGAATAGATCAGCAAAAGCACAAGAGTAAGGAGAATGGATGCCAGCTTCTCTATTGTGAAGAAACAAGTGAACCTCTTTGGAAAAAGGAGCTGTCATGGACCCCTGCCAAGCTCATTCCTTCCTCCAGCCTTTTTTCCTCTTCTTCCGCTCACCTGGAAAGTCTTCTCTCCTCCCCTCAACCTATCTAAGTCTTGTGCTGTCTCAGATCATGCAAATTCCCACATCTCCATGGTGACTCCAGCACCTCTGCCCAGCACATCTGCTGTGTACCACACAATTCCCACTAGATTAAGCATGTTGTCTTTGAAAGGTTCTTGTATGTACGTCATATAAAATTCCTTGTAAACCCCTTGAGGACAAGGACCATTTCTTTTGCTGCTGCTATGTCTCCCCCAGTGCTGAGGGCCTAATACACCCTCTGTAAAGCTTTGCTCGCTGACTGAAGAGTTCATTTAGGCTCTCTTCTTTCTGCCAGCAATACAGAGAGTGCACAATAAAGTCCTTTCACTATTAAATGACAAATTCAAAGATAGAGGGACTAAGAAAGTACTTGTACAGAATTACTCATTGTCTCGAATGCCTCATGGTAGCCAGATCCCAGAATCCTCAGATTAGATGTGGAAATAATTTTGATATATGTAATGTTGCTTTGTAGATTAGTATTACACTTAGATGGAATGTATAAGGTAATAAATAAAAGCATGGGTTACACGAGTCAAGGAAAGGGAAGATTTTCTGTTACTTTAACTGATATTCCTCAAAGTTCTTTTTCCCCCCATGTTTCACAACTGCTAGGAGTTCATAGGGGAAAATATTGCTTCATATATATATATATATATATATTTTTTTTTTTTTTTTTTTTTTTAAAAATGA